TGCCTCTGTACTCCTTTTAAGATCCCTCAGTCCTGATGCAAGCAGCAGGCTGGCTTTTGTGAGGAGTTATGCAAATATCAAAATACCTTGATGGGTGGATGTCAGTCTGGAGCAGGCTGCATTTGCATGTAGCTTGTGCTGGGTAATGCCCACATGTGTTGCTGAGACGCCATGATTGAAAAAAACTGAAAAGCAGAAAGCCACGGCCTGAGGTAAACAGCAGAGCTGCCAGCAAGGCGGCCAGGGCATGGGGACTCTTCTACTATGCTTGACCATGTTGCATCAAATTGCATACATGATCAAATGCAGGAGATGCAGGGGGGGGGGGGGCGTACAAGGGGGTGTACGCCTTGTACGCTGCGCTGGCTATCAGCCTATACAACCATACATCTCTGCCTTGGAGGATACAAGGACCCAGCCCTTCTCCTCTCTCCTGTGACTGCTCCAAGCTTGGATCCCTCATCACTGCCACTGTTGTAATAACAAACATTCTCCTACCAGCATCCCTCCAGATGAGTAAGACTCTTGGCAAGCGTCTCACCAAAGATGAAAGGATCTCTGTTGTAAACCCGCCACAAGTCTTGGCAGCGCAAAATATTCATAAGCAGAAGGTCACCTTCAGGAGGATTCGGAGATCCACATATATAGGCAGCTGGAGTTGTATGCCAATCTTGAGGACACATTGACAGCTGGTGCATTGATCAACACAGGCTCAGCACAATTGTTCTCTGTGCCCTACATGTGTGGTGGGCGCTGCGTAAAACACAGACCAACGCTCCTCAGTGCGTCACAACATGCTGTGGTGCATAAAGTTAAATGAAGCAGTTTATTAAAAAACTGAACCCCAACCCCAACCTTTTTTTTGCCATAGTTCTATTTAGGGTCACAGGAGGACATATACTGCTGTCCTCCTGTGACCCAAAATGTAGCATATAGAAGGCTGTTGCTGTATGCTGACAGTGCAGAGCCGCGCTACAGCCAGGAAAGTTCCAATATTCTCATGAGCCACCCCGTTGCCTGATTGACAGCTGGAGTCAGACAGAGCTGGAGCAACGCATAGGGGAGGGGGGGAATCCCTGCAGGGGTTGGTGACTGACGGTGACTGTTCTCTGCAGGGAGAAGATCGGGAACTGAGTGATCGGCGGTATGCTAATAATGCTAAATTTTGGGTCACAGGAGGACAGTAGTATATGTCCTCCAATTTTGATTTGGTGTCAGTCTCTTGCAGTCCACTGTACAGCAAAGCTCTGGGGAAGGAAGAAGCAGCACAAGCAGCCAATCAGCTGTGCTGCGGTGCAAGGAGCATGCTAACGAGGGGAGAGAACGAAGTGACACATGAACTCATCAGTCTGCAGCTTCCTCTATGTCCAGTCTATAGAGCTGACGGTGACAGATTCAGTGTTGCTCGTCTGTTCTAATTATGGGGAGAATTGTATTTCACTCTCCTCGTAATTCTCCTTTTAAAGTAAATGGTTCAACGTGTTGTAACAACTCATGACACTGCCCCTACACAACGCACAACAGCATCAGCACGTTATATGGAGCAGAACACTAGTGGGCTGGTGAGAACGGGCCCTTAGACTTTTAATCAGTGGGTGCCTATACGTGCCGCCTGTCACTCTGATTTTATAATGCCCTTTACTCTCCAATGGAATAAAGCTTCTCATCTATCTCAGCTTCTCAACGCAACAGACATCGAAGCCTCACCAGGAAGACTAAACGGGTCAGGTTGCTCTCGGCCTTGAAGTGTTTGGGTAGGGAAAGGCCTACGGGGACTGATATCCAAACTTTTTATTTTTTAATTTATATCTCTCGGCATTTTATGTTTTGGAAGGGTTCTACAGGACTGTTCTATAGGACAGCACATTCCTTAGGAGTAGGCGGGCCTGCCTAAAATAATGGGTCCAGCTATTCTAATAACTACGCACCATTTAATGTTGATATGCATTCCTTTAAAAAAAAAGTGACCAGTTGTTAGATGAGGAAGCGGCATGATGTAAAGGCTTTGGCCACGGGATGACTGTTGTCATCGGAGAAGCTTCTGACCTCCTTTCATTTTCACACACCATGTTCTCTAGAGCTTACAAGGAATTGTACAAAAAACAAAAGCATCCAATGAGCTTCAAGTTACACATTGTTACCAAGAGAGATTGGAGGGGAACGACCAGATATGTCCAAGCTGACAAGACAGTCAGAACTGCTCAAGTAAAAGCTATTTATAGCATTGTTGTACAGAAGTGCATTTCTGAATGTACAGTACATCAGTCAGTCCACAGCAGCTGAAGACCACATGGGGTCACCAAAACTGGGTCTCTGAAGATTGGAAAACACTGCCTGATCTATGAAGACCATGCAGGATCACCAAAACTGGGTGACTCAAGATTGGAAAACACTGCCTGATCTATGAAGACCATGCAGGATCACCAAAACTGGATGACTGAAGATTGGAAAAACACTCCCTGATCTATGAAGACCATGCAGGATCACCAAAACTGGGTCTCTGAAGATTGGAAAAACACTGCCTGATCTATGAAGACCATGCAGGATCACCAAAACTGGATGACCTGAAGATTGGAAAAACACTGCCTGATCTATGAAGACCATGCAGGATCACCAAAACTGGATGACCTGAAGATTGGAAAAACACTGCCTGATCTATGAAGACCATGCAGGATCACCAAAACTGGGTCTCTGAAGATTGGAAAAACACTGCCTGATCTATGAAGACCATGCAGGATCACCAAAACTGGGTGACTGAAGATTGGAAAACACTCCCTAACCTAATGGAACTCGGTTTCTGCTTTCACATTCAAATGGCCAGGTTAGAATTTGGTACATACCGCATAAGTCCATAGACCACCTCGATGAGACCTTGAAGGGTCTCATTGATCCAGGTCATGGTATAGCTTGTAGTAGTTAGTGACATTCATCTGGACTTGGTCTGTATGTTGAAGAGGTTTTGAAGCTTATCCAAGGAGCTCATGATACTGTCAAACTTCAACATTACAAAAGTCCAGTTGACCAACTACTACTAGGTACAGATCATGCCGTGTCCTCTGTTTAGGCTGGTGGTGGGATAATGGACGCCTGATACCAGTTTTGCATTATTTTAATGTCGCAGTTGCTGATGATGCGCACCCTTGTTATTTACGTAGTGTTCCTCCTAAGGTGGCAGAGAGTGTAAAAACTGTAAATCGAGTAGTGTGCCTTTTAAGTGCTACCAGAAACTATACCTTCTACTGAGCAAGATGGATTTTATTTCCTCCATGCCCATGACTTGTGTGTTGCATGACTTCACCTGTACTAAGCTTGCCCTCCAGGTATGGCGCCTGGGAAGGTTAATGATATTTGGAAACATTGTGTTCTGGAAGGAATTGCTGCATTGCTCCAAGTAATCATTTCTCTGTGAAGGAATAAAGACTTGGCAGTCCTTCTCAAGGTTATCCACTCCTAGTAGAGGGGATGGGGGACTGGCATGGAAGATGGAAGCCCCCATAGCAATGCCATTGTGTGTTTTCAGCAAGCCTTCATTTTGTGATGTTTGGGATTTATCTGTAATGCATTTGACCGGCTTTGTATATTTTCCATGGTTGCTTTGTCGCATTAGGCAAGATAAGCCAGTTGTGGTAGAATATCAGCCAGTGTTTTAACTGTATGTATTCAGACTGTCCCCGTATCCATTCCTGCGCATGTGATTGGCTCACTTTTCCTGCTAAAGGTCTGACCAGGGCTTAAAGTCAACTTATAGCATCCCCTGCAAGAGGCGTTTCATCAATGATCAGATTGTTATTATTAGGGGTGCACCGATATCAAGTATTTGTTCGCTTACTCGCCCAAATGCTCAGAAACCGGAACTTTCAGAGGAAGAATTTATCTGACCGGCAGTGCCATAGGGGAACATGGATCCAACTTTCTGGGAAAACAGGAAGCCAGACAGCGAGTAAATAACCCGCCTTCCTGATTGGCCGGGAAGCCGGCTTCTCGCTGATTATCTGGGAAGCTGGCTTTCCAGCCAATCGGCATGAAGCCGTGTACCCGGGCCAATCAGAAATCTGGGAGGCGGGTCATTACTCTCCACCCGGGGAGCCGGCTCAATGCTGATTAACTGGGAAGCCGGTTTCCCGATCAATCACAATCAAGCCAGTCAAACATGAAGCAGGCAATCAGGAAGATGGGCGGCATTTCATTACCCGCCGCCTGGCTTTCTGATTGCCCAGTAAGTTGGCTCCATGCCAGCGGAAGCTCCGGTCTTGGCGAGTACCAAAAGCAAGGTATTGGTACTAGGACACTGAAAAGCTGGTATTGGTGCATCCCTAGTTATTATGAAAGCACATTCTCCCACATGATGGAGTGCTGCCAAGGTTTTCGTCAAGCAAAGAAAAAAAATTTTTGTTCCAATTACGGGATTTGTCCAGTTTTTCTCTGAAGTGGAATTCCAACCAAAGCATTTTTTTGGATCGAGACGAGGGGGGCCAAACATCGTTCTCTTACATTTGTACACTTGCGTATTTATTACACTGGGGTACCTCAGGATGTTGTATAAAAGGGAGCAATGACTGGAGAAAGTTTGATAAACGCTGGGCTGTGGTATCCCATATCTGGTCCCGGGCTTCAGGTGTTTGTGGGGATCCCTTTCCCAGCGAGACATGTAAGCCGGCCAGTAGAGGTTTCACCCCGGGGGTTCACTTTGCACCAATGGCCGTCCGCTAGATAAACCCCTCTGGTTGTTGCTGGTCTTACTTTCTAAATGTCCCCGTACCGGAGCTTGTAGATCTATGTATCAAGAAGAAACGTTGGGCTTTAAAGGATTAGTTTGTGTCACCTGATGGCACCAATCAGCAGCAACTTCTCAATATCATTCATTGTTTGTTCTGATTGGAGTTCACTACCGAAAGGGGAAATCTGGTTGGCTGTTGCGATTCTTATACTTCTCGCATCATATTTACGACTTTGCGTTCCCGTGGTCAATGGTCCACTAACATCTTTTGTTTTCATTGCAGCTTCCAATGATACCACTACACCGTCCCCGAACCGGCTAACGGTAAGTGTGGAAGTTTAGCCTCAAATGGTGAACTAAGCTATGGAAATTCAACAATTTAGAAATGATAGTGAATGAAAGTAGGGCTGCAGCTAACGATTATTTTCATCAAATAGTTGCCCAATTTTTATTTTTTCGATTAATCAATTGATTGCATAAAGAAAAAAACACACTCCCCTCTCCTCCCTCACCAACAACAACCAATGGATAATGAGAATAGTTGCCAACTATTCTCATCTATTATTATCGATTTAAAGGAGAACTATGAGGTGAGTGCTTTTCACTCACCTCATAGTTCTACCCGACCTGTGACAATGAAACTGTCACAGGTCGGCTCAGTAGATCGGGAGGTGAGCAAACACATACCGGCGTTCGCTCACCTCCCGATCTTGTCACAGCTCTCTGCCGTGACAGGGGAGGGGCTGGTTTCCCCCCCGCTCTGATCCGCCAACGCTGACTGGCGGATCGGACGGGGGAGGGGGCGGGTACAGCTGGCTCTAGATAGGCAGAGCCAGCTGTCACTCACGCAGCTGGGCGGATCCAGACATAATTGTCGGGATCCGCTTCAGCTGTGGCGTCTCAGTATAGCGCAAGCAGTAGCTTGCGGTATACTGTGACGTCTCAGTATACCGTGAGCTACAGCTCGCGGTATACTGAGGTTAGGGTGACGGGAGGACGCTAGTTTGTGTCCTCCCGTTACCCTATGGAGAACTATGGGGAAAAGCCCTGACCCCATAGTTCTCCTTTAATATATTAGTTGTTGCAGCCCTATTAACAAGCAGTAAATGATCTTCAAACAAGCCATCACTGACCTCTGTAGCTGCAGGAACTGGGGAGCAATCCACCCTTAGGGCCCATTTTCACACTAATTGCGGTGCGTCCCAGAGCATGGGAGGGGGTGGTGGGTTGTGGTATTGGGTTGTTTGAACTGAGCTCCATACATGTGTGAAATGATTCTCATTCATCCAGGTCATGGTATATCTGTAAAAAAAAATAGGTCAAGGCATCTGGACTTGCAGTATTTTTCTTGAAGACGTTTCACTGGTCATCCAACCAGCTAAACTGAGAAGATATCTGAATTGAGAAAGCTGGTCGGATGACCAGCGAAACATCTTGAAGAAAATACAGGAAGTCCAGTTGCCTTGATTCATTTACAGATCTGAGATCAGTGCAGTTGCAGCATTTCCTAGCAGGCACCAGCAGATCACCGGTTGACTTGCTGCTTTATTTTCTCGCTTCTCTTTCATTCTTCCAGGAACCTGAGCGACTGGCGGCCATTATTGTCCCATCAGTGGTGGGCGGACTTATTTTAATCGGCATTCTCGCCTTCATCATCGTGAAGGTAAAGGAGAAGCGGCAGACAGAGGGGACGTACAAGCCAAGCAACGAAGAGCAGGTGGGATCCAGGATGCCACCCAACAGCGCCTTGAAACTTCCTCCCGAGGAACGGCTGATATGAGCGGCTTCCTTCCTGTCCTGAGGACGGACTTCCATTTCAAGGAGGGGGGAGTGACTGATACCCAGAGACTCTCATTGGTCTGGAGAGAGACTCCATGAGTGCCGAGACTACTGAATTCAACAAAATCACCCGCTGACTGCAGACTGCCAGAGGTCCAAGTAGTACCCCCATCAAAGCCACTGTGAGGACCGCCGGCTGCGCAGACCCGGATTTATTAGCTTTTGTATGAGGTCAGGTGAGGCTCCCATTGTCACTGCTTGGGCCAGAAACAAAACTTCATCTCCGTCCGTGTCTTCCTCGCACCTCCATGATCATGTTCCACCATGAAGACTTCTTTGCCTGGCATCAGGCTGGTCACTGCGCCCTCTGTGGGCATCACAAGGGAACTGCAAGTCTGCATGTGATTTGTCATGGAGCAGTATTCAGGAAGCTGGTCTGTAGGGCTTACAACCACAGCCACTTCTAACTGGTGGAAAGCAGAGCAGACTACTACATTTACTGGTGGCTACTGGTTTGTATACTACAAATCCCATGAGGCATCTCTCTCCAGGAGTCATGTCTGTAGCTGTGAGAATCTTGCAATGCCTCATGGGATTTGTAGTTCCACCACAGCTGGAGGGCCGGAGTTTGGCTACCCCTGCTCTAGGGCAAGGGAAGGCAAGCTCGGCACTCCAGCTGTGGAGGAACTACATATCCCGTCATTCCTGTGACTGGCAGAGTCTTGTAATGGCACATTGGATTGCAGTTCCACAACAGCTGGAATGCCGAGGTTGCCTACCCGTGCACTAGGGCAATGTATGGAAATCCTACAGGTCAGCGACAACTGTAGCTCAGCTGAAAATCCCGGATTGGCCTGTCATTAGGCTGGTGTAGATGGAGGAGGGTATACCTCTATAGGAGAAAACTGTGCTCCAATCTACCTGCAGCAGAGAACTCTATGTAAAATGACATGGTTATCTTAGGAGCTGAACACAACTACGTGGCCCAGACGCCCACGTCATAGGTCATAGGTCATAGGCTGAGTTAGTATTAGGAGAGTGCACCCCATCCATTCTCTAGGATCTCATCGGAGTGCTAGCTGCCATGTGCCTGGATGACATGCATAGAGTCCACTGTACATCCAAACTTATAAAACAGCTGGACTTCCTGCAGAAGCCAAGGATGAGCTTGACCCCCCGAACCTCAGTATTGGCCCTTCTAAGGTGATGGGCAGCCTCACTGGCCAATAGGAATTCTCAGGTAGTGTTAGGCCCAAGCTTGCAGTTCCGAATATACGTTGGGCTCCCGGGATGTACCGATCCATCTGACTTTGTAATGAAAGCTTGTGTCCGGTTTTCTGTAATGATCATCAGACATTTGTGCCGGCTCGGGTACCGCAACAGACACTGCGACCCCACCCCCACCTTTCCCATCCTGCTGAACGTGACCTTCATCCATTATACCAAAGTGCTTGTGAACTGATGAGCTGGGGGCAGCTCACCTCCCTCGATGACTCTCTTTATTGCCGGTGCCGGTGACCGGCATTCTTTTAAAAGTGTCCCCGATTTTTATCTGTGTTTTTGTTAGTTGATGAAAATTCCAATTGTAGATAATAAGATAATAATTATTTTTGTATTTAAGCGCACAGGAAATCACGGTATTGACGCTAACCTCCGGAAATATTCATTTATATTTAATCTGATGGCAATGAACATTTTTATATTAATAAACACATTTTCATGACGGCTTCTCGTGTTCGATCCAAGCCAGGGATATCCGCTAGTAGGGTGATGGCCGACCCACATGACACGGCGCCATGAACTCTGTCATCAATACAGGGAGAGACGTATCAATAACTGTATCGCTGTGGAGGCACGGTGCAGTCTGATATGTTTATTGGAATGTCTATTCATTCCGAGAGCAGATATTTCTATATATCAAGGTTTAAAGGAGAACTCTCGCCCTCTCTCACCCTCTCGCCCGCGCCCTCGCTCTCTCTCTCGCCCTCTCTCGCTCCCCCTCGCTCTCTCTCTCTCCCCCTCTCGCACTCTCTCTCTCCCTCTCTCGCACTCTCTCTCTCCCTCTCTCGCACTCTCTCTCTCCCTCTCTCGCACTCTCTCTCTCCCTCTCTCGCACTCTCTCTCTCCCTCTCTCGCACTCTCTCTCTCCCTCTCTCGCACTCTCTCTCTCCCTCTCTCGCACTCTCTCTCTCCCTCTCTCGCACTCTCTCTCTCCCTCTCTCGCACTCTCTCTCTCCCTCTCTCGCACTCTCTCTCTCCCTCTCTCGCACTCTCTCTCTCCCTCTCTCGCACTCTCTCTCTCCCTCTCTCGCACTCTCTCTCTCCCTCTCTCGCACTCTCTCTCTCCCTCTCTCGCACTCTCTCTCTCCCTCTCTCGCACTCTCTCTCTCCCTCTCTCGCACTCTCTCTCTCCCTCTCTCGCACTCTCTCTCTCCCTCTCTCGCACTCTCTCTCTCCCTCTCTCGCACTCTCTCTCTCCCTCTCTCGCACTCTCTCTCTCCCTCTCTCGCACTCTCTCTCTCCCTCTCTCGCACTCTCTCTCTCCCTCTCTCGCACTCTCTCTCTCCCTCTCTCGCACTCTCTCTCTCCCTCTCTCGCACTCTCTCTCTCCCTCTCTCGCACTCTCTCTCTCCCTCTCTCGCACTCTCTCTCTCCCTCTCTCGCACTCTCTCTCTCCCTCTCTCGCACTCTCTCTCTCCCTCTCTCGCACTCTCTCTCTCCCTCTCTCGCACTCTCTCTCTCCCTCTCTCGCACTCTCTCTCTCCCGCTCACGCTCTTTCTCTCCCTCTTGCACATCTTACATTGGTCCAGCGTGGCACAATCTAAATAAACTCATTGATAATATACACCAATCAGCCATGACATTATGACCCCTCCCCCCCCCTATAATTGAGTAGGTTCCCCTTTTCCTGACCCATCAAGGTATGGACTCCACTGGACCTCTGAAGGTATGCTGTGGTATCTGGCACCAAGCCGTCAGTAGCAGGTCCTGTAAGTTGTGAGGTGATCGGCCTCCATGGATCGGACTTGTTTTCCCAGCATATCCCACAGATGCAGTAACAAGCCTGTTACTGTATTTTGTGACGGGTCAAGAATTTATTTATGAACTTGTAAAGTTACAGACAGGTCCACAGTACCTATCCCTATGTCACCTATGTACCTATCCCTATATTATGGGAATGTAGCCCACTGACCCACTAGAAAGCCCATCATACTATTATTGGCCCAATGGGGTTCTCCCGCTGATGACCTAATGGCTTCCCTACCTCTGTTACTGGCAGCTCCCAGCATCGCCTTCCCCATACTAACACCTTAGTCCTGCGGGGCCTTCACTGATCCCTGTTGGGGATTTTACTCCTCATGGCCCGTCATCCTTTTTTGCCAAAGAACCATCAATTCTCCTCCAATCAGATCGATGCTTCACTTGTTTTATACTGATTTATAATTGTAAAGTCAATAAATGAAATTGTCTCTAATATCCCTTTTTGTGTTATTTTATGTTCAAACAACCTGATTAGAAGAAATAATTTCATAGGCTGCTGGTACCTCAGAGCAGATTGAGCTTAAAGAGAACCGGTCATGTTTAGACTGATGCTAGAAATTGTATGTTCAGTCTTCTTCCTCATTTGCACCCCTAGACCAAAATGACCAGTTAACCCTTTCAGTGCAGGAGGAGCCCCACTGCAAGGGTCAATCTTTACATTTCCTGGAGTTTTTCTTTAAACTATAATTGTCCAGATTATTATACACTGCCTGGCCAAAGAAAAGTCACCACCTGGATTTGGTGTTATGATCTGGGGTTGGTCAGGTCTAGGTTCAGCAATATGATAACCACAAAAAATGAGGTCAGCTGCCGACCTAAATATACTGAATGACCAGGATTTCCATCAATTAATATTTTTCTTCCCTGATGGCACATTGGGAATATTCCAAGATGACAATGTCAGGATTCACCAGGCTCAGATTGGGAAGGAGTGGTTCAGGGAGCATGAGACATCATTGTCACACATGGATTGGCCACCACAGAGTCCAGACCTTAACCCCATTGAGAATCTTTGGCATGTGCTGGAGAAGACTTTACACAGAGGTCCGACTCTCCCATCACTACAAGATCTTGGTGACAAATGAATACAACTCTGGATGGAAATTAATGTTGTGACATTGTATAAGAATATCGAAACAATGCCGTAATCAAAGCTAAAGACGGTCCAACAAAATTTCGAAGGGTGTGACTTCTTTTTTTGGGGGGTCAGGCAATGTATATGATAGATTTATATTGGCCCCTTTCATTCAGATATAGTTAGTGTGCAAGTCTGGCTGTTCAGTTTGAGAGTCAGGGGTCATAGGTCACATGAAGTCTGATAGCTGCTGCCCAAGCAATCCCTGGACCTCTCACACTGCTCCGGAGTGTACATAACCATAATTATAACGGAGCCCTGTATCTGAGTAACGTAAACATTTCAGAGGCTCTGTTATGTGAAGTGGTTATAATCTGGTAGACTGTGTGAGATCGCTTGGGTGGCACCCATCAGACAGACATGACTTCGGTTCCCCGGGGTACACGCAGTTCGAATTTTTGAATTATCGAAACTGACTTTGAAACGTTCGTTCGACTTTCTAATCATCAATAGGGTCAAATTGACGGTCGTTTACGACCACAGGAACAAACAAATCTGAAGGAGAATGTTGGAGAATTTTTCTCAATTGTAAACCAACATAAATGAGTCTTCCTGATTGAGAACCAGATATCAGAAATCACACAGCCTTCTATTCTCTATTCTAAAGCACAACAGGATCTATAGAAGGAGCGGTGGAGGTTGGGCTGAGCTGCTCAGAGAAGGCCTAGACTACTTAATTGTTTTTCTGCTGAGAATTTGAGAATGTATTGCTCCAGATATCTTTCGATTGTCCTGTTTTGGAAACAAGCGCCATGCCTCCTGCCCACCACACCTCTCCATTGGCGCACAACTGTGATCGACGGCTTCACTGGCCAATAGGGTGGTGCAGGTAACATAGCTCCCTTATACACCATATTACCAAAAGTATTGGGACGCCTTTACACGTACATGAGCTTTAATGGCATCCCAGTCTTAGTTCATAGGGTTCAATATTGAGTTGGCTCCGCCTTTTGCCGCTATAACAGCTTCAAGTGTGTCTATGGGAATGTTTGACCATTCTTCCAGAAGCGCATTTGTGAGGTCAGGTACTGATGGAGGAGAAGGCCGGGATTAATCCCACTAACAGGTGACTGCGGAATATTTAGTAGCAATGAAATGTCACGGAACACCTGAATCCAATGATTTGGAGGGGCGTCCCAATACTTTTTGTAATATAGTGTATGTATTTCAGCTGCACATTTAGCTGGTTGCTTGGAGTTGTTCTTCTTAAATTATTCTTCTGTCACTACATCCAAGCTATATCTCACTATAGGAACAGGTTTGTTCAGCAGAACAGTTCTAGGAGCAATGCACGAAGTACAACCTACAGTATCACTAGCACTCAATATTCACCTGTCCTTATCTGGCTTCATTAAAATGGCTTCTGATTGGTTGCTACCATTTGCGTCCATCACTTCATAGCTCTTTTTGCTATCTATCAATAAGTCTCTCTGGCTTTGAAACCTTCATTGCACACGCGGGTGGGAACAGGAAATGTAAAATATCAAGAGCGTGGTCAATGCTTTTAGAACACATAAAACTTTCATTTTCCATTAACATTCATTTAATAAACAAAATTGCATCTTACGTGTAATATAGTTAAGCGGTTTGTGGCCTAAAAGCCACCATGGCCATATACAAGCAGTCCCCGACTTACGAACGCCCAACTTACGTACAACCCGTACTTACGAACCGAGGTTCGAGACTGCTGCCACTGTACCGCGCAGCGCTCCACTAGTAACGGTGCTTGTGCCGACGATCGCAGACGAGTAGTGGGTCTGGATTTGTAGTACCATACAGTACTGTACGTCTTGCAGGAAGTTGTTAGTGAGTGCCCCGCCTCTTCTTCCGGGTCTGGTACTGAACAGGAAGTTAGCACTGACTGTCGTTACCCCTGTCATTAGCCTGTATGTGCTATGCAGTGTACTGAACACTTTTTTTATTTGTCTTCCTTGTCTACTGGTTTGCCTGTAACAATGCCGAAAACCAAATCTGATACAAGTGCTGGTTCTGAACAGGGGCACAGACAGCAAAACAAATGTAACCCTTCGCTATGCTATCCAAAACAAAAAAAAAAATTTGAGCTGGAGTTACACCTTAAAAGTTTACCTGTTCCAACTTACATACAAATTTATCTTAAGAACAACCTACAGTCCCTATCTTGTTTGTAACCTGGGGACTGCCTGTATAATGTACATCATGATACTGAAAGCATACAGTCCTTACTGTAAAGAGTCCGCCTCAAACCTTTTCTTCAGCTCGGAGACTTTGGGCAGATGCGATGGCTTCAACTCTGAAGACAACTGAGAGCAGGCCATGTCATGTTTTACATCATCCACACTACTGTTGGGACTCACTGGCATTAAGCCATCATGTGCCCTAGCAAGGGGTATGGGGGTATCAGATATTGGGCTTTTGGGTATTTCTAATTTGGGTGTACTCTGGCTCCTAAGAAACACAGGGCCAAAGCGGTACAATGGGCTGTTGGGTTTGGGGCTGCTATATTGCTGAGATAGAGGCCTCGGGGTATTAAAGGAGCGGAGGTTGGGTATGACCTTCTCTGCTAGTTCTGTGTCCTTCTTGGTCCCTGTCCAGACCATTCTGGGATCCAGAGTCCCGGTCTGGAAACGAGAAACAGCTGATCGAACGCAGGTCCCAGCTACCATACGTGGGGTTTCACTGAAAGCTTTTCTCATTGTTGTATCCTTCTGGGGCAGCAATGGCAAAACGGCCTCCTGCTTAATTCCTTCTTTCGGGGTAGGACAAATTTCAGGCTCTGGACATGGAGGAATTATTTTGACCTCACTTGTGACGGGAGAGGTCTGTGAAATGACTTGGGGCACTGCAGATACAACTTCTGAAGAGGAGATTGTTGTTTCTGAGATGGACAAAGAGCTATCAGGCTTTTGGTATGTTACTTCTGCAAACTCTGATGACGAGATGTCCTCCTCGGTGACAGAAGTGGTGCCTGGGATGTTTGATATGATATTAAACGCTGATGACGGGATGTCCTCCTCGGTCACAGAAGTGGTGCCTGGGATGTTTGATATGATATTAAACGCTGATGACGAGATGTCCTCCTCGGTCACAGAAGTCGTGTCTGGGATGTTTGATACGGTATCAAACGCTGATGACAAGATGTCCTCCTCGGTGACAGAAGTGGTGTCTGGGTTGTTTGATACGGTATCAAATGCTGCCACATCCAAGATGGGTGAAGCATGATCAGAGGAATTTGATATGTTGTCCAGAGTAAAAGAACTGTCCTCTACAGATTCTAGGCTGTCTGCAGTTCCTTCATCAACTTCTGGCAGGTACCAGAGGTCCGAATGTCTAGGGTGGCTCAAGCTGAGCCGCAGATCCTCTTCGCTAATCTGGTAATGGAAGGGGGAGAGGTCAGCAATTATATACCAGTACATATGTATTTATATATCAATAAGTACAAAGCCAGCTTGAGGAATGCAAGCATGTAACCCAAATAATTAAAGGTAGTTGGCTCCATATAACAGGGGTATCCAAACGTCGACCCTCCAGCCGCTGTGGAACTACACGTCCCATGAGGCATTGCAAGCATCTGACAGTCACAGGCATGACTCCCAGAGTCAAAGCCATGAGGAGATTTGTAGCGTCACCCCGTTTGAGAGCCAAAGGTTGGCTACCCCTGCTATACAAGTACTCTTCTTTCCCAGTACTAATTTTTTTAAGTGGCTCACTAATTTCAGCAAAGACGGCATATTTCACTTAACAGCGACAGTAAGGCCCAGTGACGAAGGCTTCCCTGATCCAGATTCCCACAAATCTGGTATTTAGATTCTTCTCTGGAACGCCCCTATGTATGAATTGCAAGTAATGTGCAGTAAAATGTGTATTGCATTGCCAACAGTGGCAGAATTATCGCCATAGCGACCCAGGCGGCCGCTATGAGGCCTGGGGCACAGGGAACAAAGGAATCCCCCTGATGCCGTGCAGGCCGCCCTAGGCTGCTATGGCTCCAGGACTGTCACTGGCGGCTGTGAGGAGGAGCGTGCCGCTGTCCTGATCACTGACAACCTCTCAGTGATCTGTGCAGCGGCACATTCTTCCTCACAGCCGCTGCTGAGCCAGTAACAGCCAGCAGCTGAGGTAGAAGAGGCCGAGTCCCTGAGGAGGAGGAGGCGCGGCGGCATTGAGCATGGTGGAAGAGGCCGGGGCCCGGGCGGTGAAGGAGGAGGCTGGAGCCCGGCAGTGAAGGAGTGAATCGGGGCTGACAGGTAAGAAGTGTGCAGGGAAAGGAACCCTGACCAGTCCACCTGAGACCCTGCAGAGTAGGGTTGCCACCTGTGAAGGATTCGGTTTTTGAATGCTGTGTCTGGGTTCTATGGCAGCAGAAACCCAGACGCAAGATGTCAGGCAGACAGGGGCAACCCAAATTAAAATAGGGGCCACTGGCCCCCCACTGAAAATAGTCTCCAATGTGCTATTTACATATGAATAAGCCACGACTCATTCTCCCCAAAAGAATGTCTGCGTGTCGCTAGAGTGTTCGGGTTCCGCTTAACTAAAAGGTGGCAACCCTACACCATAGAGAGTCCTTGGTGGGCTCTGCAGTGCCATGGGGGCACCTTGTATAAAGCAATCAATTTAAAAATGCATTCAAAAATTATATGAGAAGATTGTCCCAAACCATATTTTAGGATGTAGTGTGACGGCAGCATGGCAGAGCCTTTGCTCCCTTCCTCACAATGGCCGCACTACAACGTTTTGTTCCGTTGCACCTGAAAATTAACCTTTTTTTTTTTCTTGGTCGCTTGTTTGAGTTGATTTATAAAAGTTTGAGCAACAAAAGGACATTTTCACATGTAAGCCAATCAAGATTCAGTATTGACTTTCTATCCTGCATTTAACATCTAAAGCATGTCATCGGATTGGTTGCTGGATTGTTCAAAGGTTAGTGTGCAGATTGCTCCTCTCTGTGACGCTCACCTGTCCAAAGTACTGGCTGTCATCCAGACTAAAGCAGTCCAGGCTGTGCGCCCCATACAGTGCGCGCTCCCTTCCAGGTGCTCTCGTGTTCAGGGTTTCAAATATTTCATTCAGCAGATCCATGCCGTCATCGAGAAGAGGGAAATCATTTGCTTCAGCGAGCCCCGAGTCCCCTTCTTCACTTGTACCGTCTTCACCGAATCTATGACAGCACAAAACATTGCGTCATTACAGGTGTACAAAGAGGATTTCAGGGTCGTTATAACTTAATACATATTACAGGAATAATATGAGACTCAGGAGCCGGGTTACTGTAATACGATGGTACAGGGGTAATAAGACACTCGGGAGCCGGGTAACTGTAATAGGATGGTACAGGGGTAATAAGACACGCAGGAGCCGGGTTACTGTAATACGATGGTACAGGGGTAATAAGACACGCAGGAGCCGGGTTACTGTAATACGATGTTACAGGGGTAATAAGACACTCGGGAGCCGGGCTACTGTAATACGATGGTACAGGGGTAATAAGACACTCAGGAGCCGGGTTACTGTAATACGATGGTACAGGGGTAATAAGACACTCGGGAGCCGGGTAACTGTAATAGGATGGTACAGGGGTAATAAGACACGCAGGAGCCGGGTTACTGTAATACGATGTTACAGGGGTAATAAGACCCTCAGGAGCCGGGTTACTGTAATACGATGGTACAGGGGTAATAAGACACTCGGGAGCCGGGTAACTGTAATAGGATGGTACAGGGGTAATAAGACACGCAGGAGCCGGGTTACTGTAATACGATGTTACAGGGGTAATAAGACCCTCAGGAGCCGGGTTACTGTAATACGATGGTACAGGGGTAATAAGACACTCGGGAGCCGGGTAACTGTAATAGGATGGTACAGGGGTAATAAGACACGCAGGAGCCGGGTTACTGTAATACGATGTTACAGGGGTAATAAGACCCTCAGGAGCCGGGTTACTGTAATACGATGGTACAGGGGTAATAAGACACTCGGGAGCCGGGTAACTGTAATAGGATGGTACAGGGGTAATAAGACACGCAGGAGCCGGGTTACTGTAATACGATGTTACAGGGGTAATAAGACCCTCAGGAGCCGGGTTACTGTAATACGATGGTACAGGGGTAATAAGACACTCGGGAGCCGGGTAACTGTAATAGGATGGTACAGGGGTAATAAGACACGCAGGAGCCGGGTTACTGTAATACGATGTTACAGGGGTAATAAGACCCTCAGGAGCCGGGTTACTGTAATACGATGGTACAGGGGTAATAAGACACTCGGGAGCCGGGTAACTGTAATAGGATGGTACAGGGGTAATAAGACACGCAGGAGCCGGGTTACTGTAATACGATGTTACAGGGGTAATAAGACCCTCAGGAGCCGGGTTACTGTAATACGATGGTACAGGGGTAATAAGACACTCGGGAGCCGGGTAACTGTAATAGGATGGTACAGGGGTAATAAGACACGCAGGAGCCGGGTTACTGTAATACGATGTTACAGGGGTAATAAGACCCTCAGGAGCCGGGTTACTGTAATACGATGGTACAGGGGTAATAAGACACTCGGGAGCCGGGTAACTGTAATAGGATGGTACAGGGGTAATAAGACACGCAGGAGCCGGGTTACTGTAATACGATGTTACAGGGGTAATAAGACCCTCAGGAGCCGGGTTACTGTAATACGATGGTACAGGGGTAATAAGACACTCGGGAGCCGGGTAACTGTAATAGGATGGTACAGGGGTAATAAGACACGCAGGAGCCGGGTTACTGTAATACGATGTTACAGGGGTAATAAGACCCTCAGGAGCCGGGTTACTGTAATACGATGGTACAGGGGTAATAAGACACTCGGGAGCCGGGTAACTGTAATAGGATGGTACAGGGGTAATAAGACACGCAGGAGCCGGGTTACTGTAATACGATGTTACAGGGGTAATAAGACCCTCAGGAGCCGGGTTACTGTAATACGATGGTACAGGGGTAATAAGACACTCGGGAGCCGGGTAACTGTAATAGGATGGTACAGGGGTAATAAGACACGCAGGAGCCGGGTTACTGTAATACGATGTTACAGGGGTAATAAGACCCTCAGGAGCCGGGTTACTGTAATACGATGGTACAGGGGTAATAAGACACTCGGGAGCCGGGTAACTGTAATAGGATGGTACAGGGGTAATAAGACACGCAGGAGCCGGGTTACTGTAATACGATGTTACAGGGGTAATAAGACCCTCAGGAGCCGGGTTACTGTAATACGATGGTACAGGGGTAATAAGACACTCGGGAGCCGGGTAACTGTAATAGGATGGTACAGGGGTAATAAGACACGCAGGAGCCGGGTTACTGTAATACGATGTTACAGGGGTAATAAGACCCTCAGGAGCCGGGTTACTGTAATACGATGGTACAGGGGTAATAAGACACTCGGGAGCCGGGTAACTGTAATAGGATGGTACAGGGGTAATAAGACACGCAGGAGCCGGGTTACTGTAATACGATGTTACAGGGGTAATAAGACCCTCAGGAGCCGGGTTACTGTAATACGATGGTACAGGGGTAATAAGACACTCGGGAGCCGGGTAACTGTAATAGGATGGTACAGGGGTAATAAGACACGCAGGAGCCGGGTTACTGTAATACGATGTTACAGGGGTAATAAGACCCTCAGGAGCCGGGTTACTGTAATACGATGGTACAGGGGTAATAAGACACTCGGGAGCCGGGTAACTGTAATAGGATGGTACAGGGGTAATAAGACACGCAGGAGCCGGGTTACTGTAATACGATGTTACAGGGGTAATAAGACCCTCAGGAGCCGGGTTACTGTAATACGATGGTACAGGGGTAATAAGACACTCGGGAGCCGGGTAACTGTAATAGGATGGTACAGGGGTAATAAGACACGCAGGAGCCGGGTTACTGTAATACGATGTTACAGGGGTAATAAGACCCTCAGGAGCCGGGTTACTGTAATACGATGGTACAGGGGTAATAAGACACTCGGGAGCCGGGTAACTGTAATAGGATGGTACAGGGGTAATAAGACACGCAGGAGCCGGGTTACTGTAATACGATGTTACAGGGGTAATAAGACCCTCAGGAGCCGGGTTACTGTAATACGATGGTACAGGGGTAATAAGACACTCGGGAGCCGGGTAACTGTAATAGGATGGTACAGGGGTAATAAGACACGCAGGAGCCGGGTTACTGTAATACGATGTTACAGGGGTAATAAGACCCTCAGGAGCCGGGTTACTGTAATACGATGGTACAGGGGTAATAAGACACTCGGGAGCCGGGTAACTGTAATAGGATGGTACAGGGGTAATAAGACACGCAGGAGCCGGGTTACTGTAATACGATGTTACAGGGGTAATAAGACCCTCAGGAGCCGGGTTACTGTAATACGATGGTACAGGGGTAATAAGACACTCGGGAGCCGGGTAACTGTAATAGGATGGTACAGGGGTAATAAGACACGCAGGAGCCGGGTTACTGTAATACGATGTTACAGGGGTAATAAGACCCTCAGGAGCCGGGTTACTGTAATACGATGGTACAGGGGTAATAAGACACTCGGGAGCCGGGTAACTGTAATAGGATGGTACAGGGGTAATAAGACACGCAGGAGCCGGGTTACTGTAATACGATGTTACAGGGGTAATAAGACCCTCAGGAGCCGGGTTACTGTAATACGATGGTACAGGGGTAATAAGACACTCGGGAGCCGGGTAACTGTAATAGGATGGTACAGGGGTAATAAGACACGCAGGAGCCGGGTTACTGTAATACGATGTTACAGGGGTAATAAGACCCTCAGGAGCCGGGTTACTGTAATACGATGGTACAGGGGTAATAAGACACTCGGGAGCCGGGTAACTGTAATAGGATGGTACAGGGGTAATAAGACACGCAGGAGCCGGGTTACTGTAATACGATGTTACAGGGGTAATAAGACCCTCAGGAGCCGGGTTACTGTAATACGATGGTACAGGGGTAATAAGACACTCGGGAGCCGGGTAACTGTAATAGGATGGTACAGGGGTAATAAGACACGCAGGAGCCGGGTTACTGTAATACGATGTTACAGGGGTAATAAGACCCTCAGGAGCCGGGTTACTGTAATACGATGGTACAGGGGTAATAAGACACTCGGGAGCCGGGTAACTGTAATAGGATGGTACAGGGGTAATAAGACACGCAGGAGCCGGGTTACTGTAATACGATGTTACAGGGGTAATAAGACCCTCAGGAGCCGGGTTACTGTAATACGATGGTACAGGGGTAATAAGACACTCGGGAGCCGGGTTACTGTAATATGATGGTACAGGGGTAATCTCTTCCCCAGGTAAGCGGCACACACACACCCGTCATCCACATGATGTAAAAGAAAACGTGATTCCTCAGACAAGGAACAATTCTTCCATTGTTCTGTGGGAACTGATGCTCATGTGTCCATTGTAGGTGCTTTTGGTGGTGGACACAGGGGCGTATCTGCCGCGAGGCAAACAAGGCGTTTTCCTGGAGCGGCAGATTCCCAGAGGGCGGCAATTGCTGCGGGGAGAGAAGATTAAGAGTAGGGGAGAGAACCTTAGGACATCGTAGCGGTAGGGACGCGGACGGCGGGTTGTGGGCCGGCAACGTGGACGGCTTCTTGCGCGGACTGCGGTCCCCTGGCGGTGACCACCATACATCGGGCTGGGGGGGGGGCGGCGTCGCTGTCCTGCCTAGGGCAGCAGGTTTCCTAAATACACCGCTGGGTGGACACGGGTCAACATGGACACCCTGACTGGTCTGCGGCTACGCAGTCCCATACACAACAACCTGCGATGCTCGGTGTGTTCAGACAACTTTCTATCAGAACCGACATTCAGTTTTTCAGCAATTTGAGCTACAGTATCTCTTATATTGGATCGGACTACACCGGACAGATTTCCCCTCCCCCCCATGTACATCAATGAGCCTTGGCCATCCATGACCATGTCGCTGGTTCACCGGTTTTCCTTCCTTGGACCACTTTTGGTTGGTCCTGACCACTGCAGACCGGGAACATCCCACAAGAGCTGCAGTTCTGGAGTTGCTCTGATCCAGTCGTCCAGAAATCACAATTTGGTCCCTCAAACCCTCCCACTTGTCCATTTTTTCTGCTTCAACACATAAACTTCAGGGACAAAATGTTCACTTCCTGCCTAGTACACCTCCCTCCCCCACTTCCAGGTGCCATTGTAATACATCCCCCCACTTCCAGGTGTCATTGTAATATATCCCCCACTTCCATCTTCATCTCTCAGTGGTCAGAATGTTATGGCTGATGGGTGTATGTATATACTTTATGTATTGTGATCTCAAGGAGTCTAATCAGCCCTCCCAGTTCTACAAACCATTTGCTCTCTATGTTGTGGAGTTGAGAAGAGAGGGAGGGATTCAGCAGAAAACTGGGCAGGGCTGACACCCTTTCATTCAGTTTCGGCCTAGAAGAGAGGGGTTGTTGGCAGCAAATACAAATTATAAGCTGAGCGCATTTCTGGCAGATCAACAGATATCTTTCTGTACTTCCATGGCATTTATAGGGATCACACACGGAGGGGTGTACATGTCGTGTAGAGATGTACTGCATATGGCTGTTGTTGTTTTTTTTGCCCTGACATACACTTTAAATGTATATAAAAGTTTCCATATAAGGAAAGTTAGAGCAAAGGTCTGCTGATGATTGCGCTACGATTGGGGTTCTGCCATGTTAATCATTGTCACTGTAATGTTCATGTCACACACATTGCTGGTATTCCGTTTCCTATTATTTCACTCACCTCTGACCTTCCCAGGAGTCACACTCTGAATATTTCTTCCCCGGCCTCCTGGGACGGGACTGGAATGACATAATTAGGAAGAGTCACATGCATGTACTTGTACCATTATTCCTCTACACCACTATATGGATTGTGGAAGCGCTGGTTCTCAGAAACCAAAACACCTCGCTGAAGCCCCCTACTAGAAATATCTATATCCCAACCTCCATTCATCTCTATGTAGCTGTGGTGGATCAGAAATACACTTGCAGGCTGACATTGCCTGGAGGAGGGGAGAGTCTGGAGGTACCACGCTTCATTTGGGAGCTGATTTTGGGTTTACTAGCTGGGGGTGGGGGTGGGGGGGCTGGAGTAACCCATATTTTTTTGCCCCTTTGAAGTTGGAGGTTTTATTTCATTATACCTGGTAAGCCTTGCCATTAAAGATCTTCTTCAGGCACTTCCTGTTATAGGGTGACAACGCTGGGCGCCCGGTCACTATGCCCTCTACTCTTTGCTGGCGTCCATCACCAAGATGGCCGCTGGTAGTGAAGTACATCACCAAACCCATGTCACTTTAATGTCCTAGTCAGAGACCTTTCTGTTGAGCGCGCAGAATATTTCTTTTCTGCTTTCCTTTCTTTGCTCCGTCCTGCGTGAGTCACGGGGAATCTTGAAGCTTGTCAGCATATAACATTCACGTTTCAACTTTGTTTTTTTTCTTGCATCATAAAAACATCAGACTGATGGCGTTTCGTGCGATAATTACGGCTTCAAAAAGTCAAATGATTCATTCTTCCCAAAATAACTCCCCCAAAAATCCATCACTGTTCTCAGAACTTTGCCTGTCCTAATAACGATTTGTAATCTCATACTATGGAGATTTCAGACCGGTCCTCTCTATAGTGTTTCATTAACGGTGCGCTATCAATAAACCGCACACTAGGGGCGCTATGTTCACATTCATTCTTAATGGCCCCCCAATGCACCTCCCAACATGCACTTTTGTTGGTTTTTATTATAAAGAGCCTGGCACCGCAACTCATACTATTGTGGTACAGTGAGTTGCCCGCCTGCTGGGAAGTGCGTTGGTGTGCCATTCAGAATGAATATATGGTGGCATGCATTAAATGCACGGATACCGTGTCTTTAGTGCACCGCTATAGTGTGAACCGGCTCTTAGGGCTCATTCACACCATTAAGCTGCATGTTTCTGCGCAGATCCGCGCAAGGTCACCGTAAGGGCACATTGAAAACTGACCACTGCTTTATGGAAGAAGTTTTTTTCAACTAAACCCTTGCAGTGGGACTACCCCCCGCACTTCAAGGGTTAAGTGGTCGATTTGGTCTAAGGGTGAAAATAAAGATCCTCGTTCCTGCGTCAGTGAGTGCTCACCTCTCTCCCCCTCCTCTCCACCGGGATGTCACTCAGTGTCCTCAGGTCTAATAGTCTTGCAATAGACATGATGATGTCCGTCAGTCCTTAGACCACCGAGGGCCTGGGGCAGAAGAGGCTGCAGGGACTCGCCTAGCAGGCTGGCAGGACCAAGTGTCAGGTGAGTACATTTTCTTTATTTTTCTCCCTAGACCAAAACAAGCACTCAACAAATGTAGTGCGGG